GATATTTGCTGGGTGTGGTTCGGTCGCAGTGAATCTAAGCACCGGCATCGTCACATTCCCCGGCATATGCTTGGCCTGGGGGCTCGTGGTCATGGCCATGGTGTACTCCCTCGGCCACGTCTCCGGCGCCCACTTCAATCCCGCCGTCACCATCGCCTTCGCCACATGCGGAAGGTTCCCGTGGAGGCAGGTCCGGATCCACATCTACTATGCAACGGAGTTCGTGCTTGTTACCGGGCAAATTCTTACTGCTCCTAACCGCACGACCCATGTCGCAGGTGCCAGCTTACGTTTCAGCTCAGGTTTTGGGATCGACCATCTCGATCGGGACGCTGAGGTTGCTGTTCGGAGGGAAGCATGGCCAGTTCCTGGGAACGGTTCCCGCCGGCTCCGACCTCCAGTCCCTGGTTCTCGAGTTCATCATCTCCAAAACCTGATGTTTGTGATCTCCGGCGTCGCCACAGACAGCAGAGCAGTGAGTATTAGCTGCCGCAATGACGTCGAGCACAGAGTTCACAGATTGCATGCTTGCTTCACACATGGGTTCTTCTGTGCAGATCGGAGAACTGGCAGGGTTGGTCGTCGGAGCCACCGTGGTGGTAAATGTGCTCTTCGCCGGGTACTGCAACTGCAACCTAACCTTTCGGTTCCCATCGAATCCTTGCATGAACTTTGAGCTGCATGACGTTGTCGACTGTTGACAGGCCGATCTCAGGAGCATCGATGAACCCGGCGAGGAGCCTCGGCCCGGCGATCATCGCAAACCGGTGGGAGGGGCTATGGGTGTACATCGTGGGTCCCATCTGCGGCACCGTGCTCGGTGCCTGGGCCTACAATCTCATCCGCTTCACCGACAGGCCCCTGCTTGAGATCACCAACACTGCCACCGCCTCCTTCCTCAAAAGACTCACCAGGAAGGACTCCGCCTGAATCATCTGCCAAAGGAGTCTAAACTTGAAGGTAGCAACGCAGGGCTTTCGTTTGCTCTGCTGGTCCATTGTTGAGCATGGATCGCTTCTCCTACAATGATACCAAATCGCCATCCTATTGTTCTATAAGACGTGCAAGACATTCTTTATTCTACAGAAGATTGTAAATTATATATTATTAATAAATTTACTATTCAGAACCATTTACTAATTATTATTGATGAGAGAAAAATCCGCCGGAATCAATTCAATGGGAAATCGATCGGAGATTTTACATTGTAATGTCGTATCGTTCCAACATCTCGGGAGGGCTCAACTCCCAAATTTGGGCCCCAATTTAAAGCCCATTGTTGGGCCCAATTAGAACATCGTTCGCCGACGTTCCTGATTTGGTTTCCATGTGTTACCGACGTCGTCCTTAAGACATTCACCCTTCGCTGGCCACCATTTTTAGCTCTTCTTGGCGTCGTCAGCCCGTTCGACCCTCGCTTCCCGGCCATCCGAGGTGAGGTTTCGATTCCTTTCTTGCTTCTCTTCCCTCTTCCGTTTTTCTTGATTCTTGTAGATCCTTCGTTTTCTTTTCTCGTTTGCTTCGCGATTGCGGGATCCGTTCCCAAATCTAGGGTTTCAGATCTGTGACCAGGGGACCTTTCTTTTGGTGATTTCGCCAGTCGTTGTTCGTGTCTTTTGTTGCTAATTTGGATCTAGGGTTATGGATCGTTTAGGGTTTCGGTCTTCGGTTCTGATGGTCTTTATGGCTTTCTGAGTATTTTTTGTTATATCGCGCTCGTCAAATTTGGTGTTTTCTTTTGAACTTGATAGGGGTTTTGATGCTCATCTATCAGAATTATCACCTTGTAGTGCGTGATCCTGGCTTCGCACCTCTGAACAACAAGAAGGCGACGTTGCCTTTTCTTGATAGATAAAGTTGTCTGATATAATAATTAAGAAGTTATCTTGTCAAAAGCTAAATTGGCATGATGGTATTGGATGTACATGACAGAAGTGGCTGCGTTACGATTTCATATATGCCTTAAGGCCGAATAGGTCAGAGTTGGTTCACCCATTTAATTGTATATGTTGAAGCAAGATGAAAGCACTTATGATATAAAGACCTAAGATCTGGTGATGATATACAATTTGACTGATTTGGGCTCAAATCGTGATTTCTCTCAGTTTATAAGGTTAACTTTTTTTTATTAAGATCACTTGCTAGCTATTGTTGGTTTTTCTTTGTTCTATCTCTGACACTGGGGTTAGTCTCTTACTCTAATCCATTTTATGGAAAGCATATTTTCTTCTGGTAGATTTGGTTTTTTCTTTTAATCATAGTGCTGGGGTTGTTGATTTCCATTTCTCATGATTTTTATACTGTCAAAACCATGATAGTGTGCTCCTTTAAGCAAAGTTAATTACTCACAAACTTCCTTTTTAGGTTGAGCAATGTGAATAGCTAGTTGTGGGCTCATACATCTTTTGTGTTGTTTTCTATTTGGATGATGTGAAACATGGGTTTTCTTGACAATGCCATTCTCTACATTTTCTTTTTTACATTTCCAGATAGTTCCTTAAGCAGAAATATTGTAAAAGATAAACAGCTTAACATGAAAATGAGACAGTCTTCTCCGGAAATTCAGTTTGCAACGAGAACAGGCATTGACACTTAGTTGATTTTATTCCCTAAATATTAAACTTTTGTCAAAATGCTACGTTTGTTATAGAACTGTGTTTTGCCCCTTTTTTCCATGAACACATTGGCCTTAAGTCGGGTTTTGTTTGCATCTGTCTTTGCATTTTACATCATGTAACCTTTTCCTTATTTCCTATCACATATTGTTTCCTCCGTCAAATAATAAATTATTTGTGTTCCTTTCTGATCTACATCTTCTGACCCTAAGACCTTTAATTTGGCTGAAATCCTTCAGTAATTGGAGTGAAGATAATTTTTTCGAATAGAACATTTTCATGGGGAAGAGAAAGTCAACAGCGAAGCCTCCTCCTAAGAAACGAATGGACAAGCTTGACACGGTCTTTTGCTGCCCTTTCTGCAACCATGGAAGTAGTGTCGAGTGTCGCATGTAAGTTCATGTGATATTACCTCCTTTTTTGCAAAGATCACCGTGCGATGATTGTTGGGAGAGCATTCTTGGAGTAATATTTGGTCCTTTTACTCATAAAGTTGTTTGTTTTATTATATACAATTGCACTATAGAAAAAGATGTGTATGGTAGGTTTGTTCCTCCTGGTGTTTTTAGGCTGTATCTATTTAATTATCTTCCGTGATTGATTTTTCTTGGCAGTGACATGAAGAACTTGATCGGGGAGGCTTCATGCAGGATTTGTCTGGAAAGTTTCAGCACTACTGTCAACGGTATGACCGCTAGTATATCAAATTTTTGTAACCGTGTTCATTAGACAGACTTGGTTTCGTACCATATTGATCGCCACATGTTTTATCCATGAATAGTTGATACAGCAAAATTCTTTAGGATGTGCTTTCGGCAATCCTTATTGGTTTTTCAGAGTAGGGATTTTTCAAAGAGAAATCAAGCAACAAAGACTTCTCAGAACTTGTTTTCGCTGACAAGACATGTATATTAGTCTTCAAATCCAGGATGTTTGGTTCACGAATCAAAGAAAGATTATAAGTAATATGCTCCTTACAAACTGGTTCCGTTCAATGCCTCATGAGCATCCATTCATGGGACCTTAATAACCAACCTATTTCCCTCTATAAAGTTTCAGAACTGGTGAGATTGTATGTAGATTGTCCTCGTCAAATGTCGGGCCCATTCCAACTGGCATATATTCCTATCATATCCACTTGCATCTATCTGCGCATTCAATTATCATTTATTGTTTGTTCTTAGAATCATAAAAATATGCTGACCTGATGCTCTCTCTTTCGTTTTGCAGCACTGACGGAGCCTATTGACATGTAAGTTTATCTCCATGATATGTTTTTGTGGGTCAATAGCTGAAAATCGAATCAGATAATCTGCAAATTCCACATTTGTTTTGCAGATACAGCGAATGGATAGATGAATGCGAAAGGGTCAACAATCCTGAAGATGATGGTGCATGAACATTTCTGCCTGGTGGATCATGGGTCGAGCCTATATATGTTGTGATGATCCTTAATGTTGTAGAATAAAATATGTTCCTATGGAGTATGTCGAACGGTGTGATATTGTTAATTTATACTCTACGGGTACATTGCATGGTTTGGCTACTTGCTATGTAATAAATTGTTATTTGCTTCGAAACTGTAATTGATCGCCCTTTGACTCGCTAATAATTCTCACAAGAAATTTTGGCGTAAAAATCAAATACATTTTGTTGGTTTAGGTGGAGGCATTTTTTTATTCCAAAATATAAACTTTCATGATCTGTGGCTTTGTTAAATGCAGGCTGAGGTAGCAGTTTACCGGACGTTGTTTATCGTGTGCAAATGGAAATTTGTCTTCATCATCAGCCTCGACAAAACGAAGTCAGCGAGAAGAGTGGGGGGGAAGGTTTCCACATCGATCGACAAACAGTAGCTGTGAAAACTTGATCCCGCTAGAGATGTGTACATGGCCGGAGAAGGTGTGCGAGCTTAAGACATGGAAGACAAGGCCATGTTGGTTGAAGAATTTGCTCCACAAAGAAATGGAAGACGAGGCCCATCTCATTCACCAACATCATTCACCATCGATCACTTTGATCAACAAATGCATGCCAGATGTCCGATGCTACGACACGAGAAGTTGACCCTAAACTGTACCAAGAAATTACTCAGGGAAGATCTACTCTTTCATGGGGTTGGAGTTAAGGAGGCCACGGAAACCTGTACCGACTCTCTCTCACTCTGAAGAACTGTGAGGGGGAGGCCATCCTCACCCACAGCCCTTCTCTGATCTTGCTGATGAGAGAAGTTGCACGCACCAGATGAACAAAGGAGAAGAAACTGCACATCTTTATTTGCAAGGTCACATGCAACAGAGAAAGAAAGGAGCTGAGAAGTAGGGAAGACGCAAAGGTGAAAAGGAGGACCACCAACAGGCCGGCTCCACGATATGAAGACGACAACTAGGACTCGTTCCCCACATGAGAAGGGAAGGGATAAGCTGCTGATCCACCACCGAGACCGTCCCCCTCCACCCCGCCAAACTCACCCCCCACCCACACCGGACCACCATAAAATCCTATGGGATCGCTGGTCCCCGGGAATTGATGTGCGCCACCACCATCTCCACCGCACAGCATCATGCCCTCCTCCCCATCCCCCGCCACCATACTCTGCCCGTCGAACTGCCAACGACCTACCCCTCCTTCCATCTCCAGCACCCTCTCGTACTCGTCCCCCGACCGGAGCCGAGCGCGCTTCTCCCCTCCCTCGATCGCGCCCGGCGCCGGCCCCGCGCCGAGGCGGCCGAGGAGCTTGGGATCCCCGGCCACCTTGACCAGGAAGGCCAGCATCTGCCTCGGCTTTCGCTCCGTCTCCTGCACCCTCCTCCACATCTCCTCCACCCTTTCGGCTATCCTCCTCTGCTCCTGCTTCAGCCTCACCACCTCCGCAGCCACCCTCTCCTCCATCCCCTCTTCCTCCTCCCCCTCCTCCTCTCCCCTCTCGTTCTTCTTCCCGCAGCCGCTGTTCCTCCGCACTATCAGCCTCAACAGATTCGTCTGTCCTCTCAGGAACGACGCGTGCGCGAACTCCCACCGATCGGGATCCACCTTCCGAAACCCCTACATCCAACAACACGCAGGCCAAAATGAATTCATACGGCTCAACTGCTACCTTTCGTGATCCGACCGACAAGCCTTACACACGCTCACGTACATAAGTGTTGAGCTGGCGGACGAAGCTGGAGAAGTTGCCGTGCTTGAAGTGGGAGGGGAGGAGGAGCTGCGAGAAGGCAAAGGGGTCGACGACGACGAAGCTGTTGTTGTCGCGGCCCCAGGCAATGACGGCGTTAGTGGAGGGGTCGTCCACCATGCGGTAGGTCTTCAGCACGAAGGGAGCAGCCACCGGACCGCCGCCACCCCGTCCTGCTCCTCCACCGTTGCCGTATTGGTGGTGGCCGCTTCTGAAACAGGGGCTGCCGTCTTCCATGCTAACGCTGGACGAGTAAAAGCGAAAGTGGCGGTCACAGCCGCTGCCGACCGACGCGGAGGTGTTGCAGAAGATGGCTAGAGTTGGTGGGAGGAGGTGGTGGCTTTTGTAGCGGTCGCGGAAGCGGGGAACAAAAGGGTGCCGACAGGTGCAAAGACTCCGGTGGACGCGTGTCCCTCCCTCCCGATTCTTCCGTCAATTCCCATCCACGAAAAAAGAAGACAACGAAGGCGAAGCAGATCGATGGCAAAAGAGGGAAGCATGCCACGAATTAGTCCCTCTCCCATCTCCCCGCCGGTCCCGCCGAGGACTCATCGTGGTTCCCAGTTGGCGGTCCAGTCCTTGCACGACACGACGGCAGGCGAAGGCGTCGAGCACAGCACGAGGTGAAGCTTTTTTGTCATGGCATTTTCCGCATCTTTGCGGGCATTTGATTTCTCATGAGCCACAATATTCGTGTAGCAGGTGGCGAGGTCTGAGTGCTCCACGTACGTGGCCGGGACAAAGCGAGCACAGCGACCCATCACCGCTCTGCGTCAGTGTCAGCATCTGCATCATCTAACGCTGCAAAAAGCCTTCATCTCTTCTCCGGTGCTGAGATCACTTCGAATGTATCCGTAAATTAACGATACACGAAAGAGGACGTCCGTGATGAGCACACACTGGTCCTTACGATCGTCTGAGAACGTTTCTTAATGGTGTACCTTTCCATGAACGTCTCGAGGGATGCTCGGGTAAGGAAATCTATCTTAGGGCATGCGAATCCAGTGGGCGGCGGTTACCAAAGAAGGGAAGAAAAGGAAAGCATAAAGAAAAGTCCAATATGGAAGCTGATCTCTTATTGACTTTTGCCGAGATAAAGGCCATGTAATTGACGTTTTAATTTGATGGTAGAAAATGGAAATTACATATAATGATCTTATTCTTATTTCTATATATTTAAGTTAAACAAAACTCGAGAACCTATGCACTAAGTTTCATAGATAAATATTAATGAGGGTAATGTTATGGAGAAATACTAATCGTCCAACACCCACTGCCCGGTCGTATCAGGAGATGCAGTCAAATGAAATCTGTCGCCATCCCTTGTAGATTTTGGGTGTCGTTTCGTGGATTCTTGGGCTCAGTTCTAAGACTAATTTTGTGGTGAGGAGTACACACACCTGTAGTAGGCCATGCCATTGTCACTGTCATTTTAATCACCATCATTATTTTTTTTTCTTCTAAAATTAGAATTTTCTTTTGATTTCATCATGTGAGTACCAATCACCTGAGATGTCTCATCATCATCACCACACACAACACACACACATATATATATTTATATACACACAAAAAAAAAAAGGATGCACAGTATCTATCTATGATGATCTATAAAAATTTTTATCAGATAATTTAGCTAGTATATTTAAAATATATATATAGGATGAGATTTGTTTCCCGTTTTGGATATGTAGTCGTGGCTCCCACCCCACAAAAAGGAAATAAAAAAGGCGAATCTTTCAAAAGATTGCATTCAATCTGACACCTGCTTTGGCCTATTTTCTCGGAAGCTTATGGGGTCACTCCTTTAATATATAATTAGGTTCTGATCTTACAAGACAAATCGAGCAAAATAAGATGAGCTCAGTCTTCAATCAGCTGTTTGGGGAGATGGATAGAAAAGAAAGTATCCTTTAACCCGAAGATAAATTCTGATAAGATAGATTGTGATGAGATCGTAGTTGGATTGCTATTCATCTCAAAAGTTTTAAACTCAAAGTATAGGAAATGAAAGATCCAAAGCCTAATTATACTGCGAGAAGTGGAATATGACAACCATACAAAATGATAATATACTGCGACATAATACACGTACGTAGCTAAAGTTGAAGTGATAATAGATGACAGCAACGAGAACGAGACCGAGAACGAGGACAGCATCCCCACCACAGTACACACCAATATTGACGACAGCTGAACACACTTAGATAAGAGTACGTCAATGCATGCAATTGAAAGCTATAAAAGCACGCTTCCTAAGTCTTGTACTTCCCCTCGTTGGCTTGCTCGAAGATTTCGGCCTGCGTCGCGGCGATGCCGTCGGAGGTGATGGCACCGGCGAAAGCGGTCTTCACCTGCCGGGTGGTGAAGGGGTACCTGCTGTTGGCCATGGAGTTGAGGAAGGCGGCGGTTCCCTCGCGGATGAGAGCGCCGTACCCGTCGGTCCGGGTGTTGGTCAACGCGTCGGTCAAGCTGGGGTTGCTGCCAAAGATGGCGGCACAGCCGTGGCCGAAGAGATCGCCTATGGTGCCCAAGGAGCCGATGATGGCGGCTATGGCATCAGGGTGGGAACCCCAGAACCTGAAGACAACGGAAACGGTGATGAGGACGGAAGCGCATCGATCACGAGTAGTTCATGGAGCTTACCTGCAGGTGCCGGTGAAGAACGGTGGGATGTGGGGGTCGGTCGTCGGCGTGGAAGGCGTGGATGGGGAATACGGAGGGGAGTAGCCGCCGCTGGGTGTTGGTGATCCCTGAGAGGGCACTGTGGGAGTGCTGCCATAGCTTCCTCCATGAGAGGGCACCGTGGGAGTAGTGCCATGGCTTCCTCCATGAGAGGGCACTGTGGGTATGCCATGGCTTCCTCCATGAGAGGGTGTTGGGGTGCCGTAGCCACCACCGGACGGGGTCGGACAATTTGGTGTCCCGTGTGAATCTGCACCCGACCAACCACACGATAAAGCTCCAAAAGATCCGTGACACAAAGCTGTCTATATCTATCTACATATATCAATGAGCGTAAGATGTACTGTATGGATCGGTGCTTCCCTCAGGATGGGACACAACAAATACGTATACATGGAGCAGGAACGAGAGCTTACGTGTGGGAGTGCTTCCGGTTGCTGGAGGATAATAGTTCTTCTGCTCGGCAAACTCCTGTAGACTTCGGCTCACGACTGGAGTAACCACATTGTGAGAAAGCAACCCAACTAGAAGAAGACAGACCAAGGAAGTATTCCCTCTTCCTAGCCACCGGTCCATGCTCGCCAGAATGGAGTTGAAATGGAAAGGAGAAGATAGAAGCAAGCAGCTGCAATGAGCAACCAGGGAGGGAGTGAGCTTGCACATAAATAAGTAGAGAGAGAGAGAGAGAGAGAGAGAGAGAGAGAAAAGGGAATAGATCGACAGCAGGGGGGAGCATTCATGAGCATAAATTTCGGTAGGACGGGGTTGTAAGTGGTTGGATGACATTAAATGGTTCTTGTGACATGCTATTGACCAGCTGGCCCTCACACACAACTCATAAGATCGCATTCATCTGTCGATTTCAATTCAATGTGTATCAGTTAATGGAATCACATTTAGAGCGAGACTTCATCTCTCCACTTCAAGTTGAAGCCTAATAAATTTCTCACATGTCTTAAAGAACATGCAGATGCTACCAATTCCATTAATGGCCTTTCTATCATCGGGATTGAACCAAATACTATCAGATTAATCATCATCTGCTTCTATCACTGTTCTTGAAACTGCACACAGTATTTATCATCTCATGATTATTTCTTCTCACTCTCGAGGGTGGCTATAATAACATCCAGATTAGTAAGATTAAGATTAACCCTATAAAAAGCTTGATGGATATAATAAAATATCATGGTACTTCGAGGGAGTCGTGTTATTCGCTGCGGTAACTCTCGTCAGCAGTTGATCGGAGAAAAGTGCCTTTGTTTTCTTCCTACCTTGTCCTTTAAATGAGCAACGACAGGAAGTAGTTGAGGCCTGACATGCACCAGAGTGCCGTGCAGAGGACAGCCTAGATTTGCTTGAACTTGTTTTGAGCTCCCTTTAGCAACAGGGCTTCGATGGGTTGTGGATTGGCGGTCTACAGTCTACAACACTGCAATTGCCATCATAACTCTGGAATCCAGCTACAGCTAAAGTACCGCGATCGACGATCACAGGTAATTGATTTGGTTGATGATTCCAGTATGGTTCTTCGAGGTAGCAAAAGCTTGGCAGGAGCAGAACCATGTTCTCCGAAACATATCGTGAACGGCAGAGTTGAAGTGGAAGTACGCAGCAGTGTGCGGATTCTCCCCACCGCATGTGAGGAGGACCTTCCAACCTAACAGTGGACACCACCTTTGTGTCTCTTTATGGCACATGTGAAGACCTTCCAACCATTCAGAAATGAGTCTTTTAGGTTTGGGTGTTTTTTGTGTTTTTGTTTTTGTTCTTTTTTTTGTTGCCATTCTGTACATTTCTTTATCCTTGATAGATTCTGTAATTGAGAGAAGTGTGATATGAATTGGAAGGGCAAGAGGTGTTAGTTATCTAATTTAGCTCGTAAAAAAAAAAAACTTTGATAGATCATCGTAAGGTACTATGATCATCGAATCCCACATTCGCTATTTATTTAAAGAAAAAGGATAAAGTATAAATCTTTTTTTTTGTTCATATAATCAAGGTTATTCAACCTGTTTAAATTGGATTACAATACTTGTTAATCTTCATATTCTCTTTATTTGAGTTTATAATGCATTCAAATAGAAAAGTAAATGACAGAGTTGGATATATATATAGTATCCAAATAGCTAGAGGTCATTCTTGGAGGAGATGTGTAGTCCAATATCTTACATAAAAAATCATCAACAATAATAGTTATGATATCATGCTCAAACTCAGTAAGTGATTTATTAAGTCATCGAGTCTAATCATTGACCCAAAATGTTTCGCATAAACAAATTCACAAGAATAAAAATGCAAGAGGAACAAAGATGCCAAACAAGAGAATCTACAATACTAGCACCAGATCTCTCCAGAAAGAAAGAAAGAAAAATGGCATCGATTCACATTTGCACCTCAACTAAATAAATGCTATCGCACATTCGCTTGATTTATTGGGAAAAGCTAATATCTGTTATTGATGTATCAGTGTGTATGAAAGAAAGAAAAAAAGAAAGAAAAATGGCCATGATATACTGTCATTAATATATCAAAGTGTAAAACGTCACATACATTAGGGAAAAGCTAATATCTGCACAAGTAGGATAATGACATGAAGCTGCATCTCTCAAACTGGCACCGGGTTCCCTTCTAATGCCTCTTTCCCTGTTATACCCTCTTTCAAGTTCTTGAAGTACTCATCATAGTCCTTCTCCGGTGGAGGGTTTTCGGGGTCGATCACATACAGCTCACTAAACGGCACAGTACTTTTCACCTACAAGCAGGAAGAATTGTCGAGCACAAGAGATTGCGGTATCATCAGCACTATTTTCCAGTAAAATTTGTCCAACATGATGCAGTAACATGTTTCCTTCAGTTGCCTTCATTTGTGTTACGGTGAAATATTACATAATTGGCTTTCATAAAAGAACCACTATGCAAAAAAGATGCTGCAGACGATCGATGACATAAAGACTTCATAACTGATTGATCACATGCAACTAAAGCCACAGATGGGCCATCGATCGACATCCATGGAGCCCCTTGCATGGTCATGATGTAAATGAAGGTTGTGTTTAAATTTTTCTTTCAGAAAAAGATGGCCAAGTTCAAAGTTCCATAAAGAAAGGGCTTTGCCAACTCAACAAAGCACATGCTCCATCATTTTATGACCAAGGAAAATGAATACGTGATGTACTAAAGTTGAAACCTCATTGGAAAAAAATAATCATTCTCTAGCTGGTCTTGATGGGCAGTACTTCAAGCATAGATCATACAGACCAAGATATCACAAAATTAAATTTCTGTAAAAAATTCAAGGTGATACAAGTCCAAATGTGGAAGAACCTGTTGGATTTAAACTTGTTAAAGTATCATAAAGAGGTTATTTTCATCAAAAAAAGATTCATTGCATCAAGAAAGAGGTTCATTGCATAGAAATAAATTAAATATCTATGGAAGAACAAGCTAAATTGGCTATTGGTTCTCAAAAAGATTTGATTCATTTTGAGTACAATTAATGTAATGTATCTTTGGGGATTATATAAACCCCATTGGATCATGAAACATATAGAGTTTTGAAGTTGTAAAGAATTTTGAGTGAAAGATCAAATATCTTGCCTTGTGTTACTCTTCCTTTGTGTGATAAACATATTTCTTCTTCTTATCAAGTTCAACAGAACCTTAATCCTAGGTTAAAATTAAGTTCTTTATATATCTGTTAATATCAATTTCCATCTATGTCATTGTAGATTATAATGTTCTTTCATTTTAGTTGATGTAAACAGCTACCTTACGATAGACAGATATACAACAAATGTCAACATGAAATCTATTTACCTCAAAGGTCTTCCCACATGCATATGGGCTATCCAGAGCTGCAATGCAGATTCGTGCAATCTCCTCCCTTGAAATTTTACCCTGAAAGCCACAGATAGTAGGCATGCTCCATTTAATGTTGCGTCTTTGTTTTTTGGTTTTAGTGGGTCATACATTTCATGTGATACTAATAAAGACTCATGCTTAAGATATACAAATACATGTCCAAAATATAACTCCCAAGTGTCTTGAATACCGTTATATTGTCTCCTTGATCGAAAATGAGATCAGCTCCTGCAGGTTCTTCTGTTAGAGCACATGGCCGAACAATTGCATACGGAATACCACTTTCACGTAACAAATCTTCACCCTAAATAAAAATCAGAAGAAACAATTGTAAAAACTTATTCTTGTAAAATTTTCCATTACCATAGAAACTCAAAATGATTACCGATCATAACTGTGAAATGTGCTTGAGTAGAACCACTTATTGTTACATAGTCCAAAATTTTAGTAATGCACAATATATTGACAACACAAAGCAACATTTACATCAACATTTGGGAATAACATACATGTAAAGTTACACATGAAAACTTTACTATTGTTGTAGGTGTTCCAGTTGACAATCTATAATTCTATTGTGTATTGAGGGATTTCAGATGTCCTGAGAGCATGATGTATTGTACTTGATATAGAATGCAATGTTTCCAACTATAGAAAAACAAATTCAGAACCATTAAGAAAAATGAAGTCTTTAGTGAACACCTGATACATGGGTAACAAAACTAAAAAACATTGCAAAATTAGAAGTACTGCTTAGATGCACACGTCCATATTCTTAATTTGACAGTATAAACTGACTCTGTAAAAGTTAGTATATTCCAAATTTCACACTATTCAATTTAGAAAGACATCAAAATCAATTTCAGTATTTATTTTATTTTAGATTCTTCCTAAATTACGTATCTGATTGTTACTTGCAGACATCAAATTTGTTTAGCCTAGTTGAGAAATACCATAATAAGTCAGTACAAAAACTGCTAAATAAATAGAAAATTGCAACCCAACCTATTCATAGTCAAAATGGACATCATTGTGTTGACTACTCATCAAATAGAACTTGCTATATTTCTTTATCAATTTTCAAATAAATTAGGAATCAGGATTTAACTGTTCTAGATAAAATCTGATTTGTCAGAAAAATTCTTGAACACAAACTATGATGCTTTAACTCTTTTGCCCGAGCATAATCAAGTATACAGGAATATAATCAGAAAATTATTATGCTCAAGTTCAGTGAACTCACCTTCAGTTTATATGTGAGGACAAAGCCTAACTCCTTGTTCAAGCGCACTGCAGGCGGTTGTTTGCTTAAATCCAGTCCAGGTCTGCCAGGTCGAGTAACCCCTGCGGAACTCACATGTACAAACCTGCATAATAAAGCCATATCATAAGTGCGATTCTTTCATAAACAACTCGCCATACCCTCTATGCCAGACAGCATAATGCCTTGACCATGTTGGTTTTAGGCCTCGATATGTTACAAACTCCTACTAAGTTTCAGAGCTTCCACAATAAATCAAAAGTATGTTATTTCTGATGAAGAAATGAAACCTGGGAGTGATAGGCTCATTAATGTATGCTCGTATGCTGGAAAATGGAAGCTGAAATGAACCTTCCACAAAAGTTGGGTTGAGTTTCCCATCATACTCAAACTTGCTGTACATGAGCTGTAAAAGATTGTCTTTTTTTTTTTAGATGAAACATTTGATTATGACAAAGAATGGGAGAGAGAGAGAGCACAAGAAACAAGCCTGCAGCGAAATTATTTTGCTCGGGTCAAAGGGGGCAGCATCTGTCACAGTTCGAGCACGAAATATAGGCCTAAATGAAGAAAATGGCAGCTTTATCTGAATACAAAAGAAAATATAGTTAGCACGGCTAGCTAATAGTTGTGACACTAGGCATATAGAATGGAGATAACATACTGTCTGCCACTGCTCCTTTGTGGTGTCAAAGCTTGCTGTATAACCCACCGTATCCCAATCATAACTAGTGCGTAAAATGAGCTTGTAACGACGTCCATCACCTTTAACTCTCATTTCAATACCGTCATATGCTGAAAGGTCTTCAGGTGTAGAAAAATTCTGGACCATAAAAAATTGAATTTTCAAATACATAGTTCAAATTGCAAATTAGTTTAGCAAAGCAACAGAAAAAGGAACAAATACTAATTTATCTATAATCATGAAAGAGCCTAATTTGACTATCAGTCACACAATCAGGAGAAGAATATGGAGGTCCCTTAAATATAAAAAAAGATGTTGATAGCATCTAGGATAAATCTTGTGATATTAGGTAATATTAAATTTCTTTAGGTCACCCAACTAGAGAATTTTATATGAGATAAGAAGACAACCATTAATAATTGAGGCCTGGTCCCTGGAAATATTACTTGAGCATCATAAAGTGTATGTTCTTATTGTGGCAATTGGACTATACTCTCCAAAAGCATGTGCCAGGAATCATTTTGGAGCTAGACCTCGAAGTGATACAAGAGTAATTATATAGGAAAATTCTACTAATTTCGAAAATGAATTTTCAGCATATTTCATAGCATTAAGGTGACTACAAGACCAAAGACAATATTACATTAACAAAAATGGAAAGTAGCTAGAACAAGAAAATCGAAGAAAAGTTCATAATTCATGTATATGTCAAATGGCAAAGCTTGACCAACAAACTAACATAGCTTTCACTTGAGATTGTTCAATGATCAAATACGCCAACACTTGCAAACTCACATATACTCCATGCGGCTGTCTTGCAGCTTTGTTCTCAAATTAGTAAATGATATATGAAGTCAATTACCTTGGTCCTGATACTGGTGAATCCACCATTGTTTGCAGTTGAAACAACACCTGAATAAATATGTATATATATATATAAGATGCATATGCAAAAATAAACATCATTAGACAACTAAACTAAATATATAGTTTCAACTTAGGCCACTGCACAAAAGTGAGCAGGAGCACAAGGATAAACCTTTGAACAACCCAGTCGGTCCGCCATCTTCGTTTCCCTTAGGGTCAACCTGGAATCCACTTTCACTAACACCTCCCATGACAACATCATCTAAAGCACCCCAGATAAGCTTCCCTGTGATATTGCCTGCTAGCATAAAGTAGATAGAACAACTAAAACTGTGTTGTCGATGCAAACAATATCTGAATGACTTAATATGTAATTTGTTATTTCTGTTGAACACAATTGGTAAAAATAAAAGGAAAAAGGGAAAAAAATTTAAGGATCTTTGATTTTCCAAGTAATGCGTACAAGTAAAACCAAAACATGGTTAACAAAGAGGGAATCTTGGAGCATTAAACGTAAAGCAGTCACTGTTATAAGATCAATATCCAATAACAATTGTGCATTTCTTACCATTTTCAGAAAGACCAAGTAGACAAATCATAGAAGCATACATAAACATCCTTTAAGTAATTAATTAAATGAAGCATACTTAAATAAATATCACATTTATACTTATGTATAAGAATTAAAAACATTTCATCTTTACTTATAATGTCAAGATTTTTTATGATCTAATGTCGAAGTAGGTCAGTAGGTATGTGCAGTAAATCAGATTACATACCTTTGAATCCAAATAACAATTCTCCATCCTGTAGCCCTACACTATTCTTCACTGCATTAATCAGATTTTGCATTCCGATATATTCTACTTTTTCTGGTGAATCTCCTTTTATCTGACAATTAATGAAATATTTGGCATAACTATGCTAGAAGTTTGAAGAGCTAGTAAAAATTCTTGACGAATTAACTTTAGCAACAAAGAAGATCGTTTCAGCACCTCAGGTTCGAAAAATTTAATCCCCTGTATCAAACAAGATTAAACTATTGTCAGGGAAGAAGTAGGAACAGATTTTCTAAATGAGTCAACAGATAAATCATGGACAACTGCAGAAAGTGAAAACCAAGTCAAAGATATGCCTCATTAGATGTATCTACGTTGTATAACATACTTGGCTGTACTTTGCTCTATCAGGAGTATCCCCTTCCTTTGGGCCGATGATAACAGAAGCTGCATTGATGACTTTTTTCACCCCTTTGAAGTATTCGGGAGAAAGCGTTTCCATCTTAGTAATATCTCCAACAATCTAAAATATTTGAATCAAAGCAGCTACCACTAAGTACAAGAAAATGTTGCCTCTCATTGACATAAATTAGCAAGTTAAACCCACAAAGTACCTAAAGGATTTGCAGGAAAAAGTAACAACAGTAGGGAATTTTTAGGAGATTTTCAAATGTAGTAAAGCATCATGGAACCTCTAATATGTTGAAATAATAAACTAGTATTCATAGATGTAGAAAAAAATTACATATATATTTTGTAAAGTAAAAAACATTATCTAACAAAACCCAAGTTGAATTTACATCACTCGATAGAATTCAACCTTCCTCTTACTTCTTTGGCATTGAAGAAACTTAAACTGTATCGACAGAAATTATAATAATATATGCATCTCACCAAGTCAACATCAGGCCCTAACATGGATCTTGCCTTCTCTTTATTTCTAACCTGGATTTTAAGAAATAAAAAGACTTGGACTTCGATTGATGAGAGAAAGAGAATAGAACTTTCTAAATTCCAGTATATATTTAAAGAGTATAAAGGATACCAGTGCACAAACAGGAAACCCTTTATTCCTTAAGATGTTAACTACCCTTCGTCCAACACCACCAGTGGCTCCAGCTACCAGCACCATATCAGAAGTTTCCATTTTCTTTATTAGTTCAGTTGATGTTGGACTTGACAGTTTTTCGATCAGAGATTCGATGAACTTCATAAATGAAAATTAATCATTATAAATGATATAAAATATTATACATGTTATAAGAAAAACAAAAGGGATACATGTATTCATACTTGAAACACGAAAGACCAACCTTGGCAGGATTAGGAGGTCCATTAAAAAAATACAATGTTCTAATGAATCTACCAAAATCCCAAGTTTGCCGACCAGACTCAGCAGATATAGCTCCCTTGTACTTTCTTGAGTATTTAAAAGGAGGCAGAGCTTCCTTGTAAAGACATGGATCCAATCTATAAGCATGTGGGATAAATTGCTTAGCACGGAGGGATAGCACTTGACGATGCAAGTCACCGGAGTTTCTTTTGCAAGTGTGTGATGAAGAAATCCCCTGAAGCAAGGACCAATACAATAAGAATTCCATTGTAGTGACCAAGTCCAGAAAGTTTCATTACAAATCCTTGATCGTTTAGCGTCAGAATCGGCCATAATCATAAAAATAATAATGTTAACATGGATTTATAAAAAAAAAAAGAACTATAATAAAGAAATTTATTTGTGTAGATTATTCACTTTGTTTGGCTAAAAATTAACAGTAAGGATCAGCTTTTTTTGCAATCAGGATTTTGGATAAGTACATGGATATAAATGATACAGATAAGTTGGTGGAAGACCCAAACTGCAGCTTCATGTATACATAAGAATATGGTAAAGCAATTGTCCATGCATAGTTTAGTCAGAGAAAAAGAAAACTATAGAATGTTGTCCTGAAAAACATCATATCATCGTAAGCGAACTCGTTGATTCAGTCAATCCAATTAATATACACAGTACATTTAACTCAATTTGGAGAACAATATAATCATATCAGTTAGACATTAAATCAAAGATATCATAAATTGCTACATTTTACCAGCCAAAAAATTCCATTTTGTTAAAACAAAGGAATTTTGCTATGTAAGCTGATGTTATGCATAGTCCAAGTATAATGTAGATCACTAAAAAGAGAAGCCATTTCTCTGAGCTGATAAATATATAACACTCTTACAGACACTCATATTCCTGCACCTCTTAAAACCCATCTTTTCCTTTGAAAAACCTATTATCACCACATAATAAGTTATAAAATCCCTTTTAAATTTCAGATAGATGTACTGCCAATGGAGACCATACGAGACTTGGAATGACTGTTTCAAAATTTAAGGTAAAATCCCTACTTCCAAATACAATTCTGTTGATTGTTTCTTAAAATCCAACAAACGATCCATAAAAGCAAGTACTTTTCCCTAAAAATGATTTTTCATTTGGCCAAAAGATATTAAGAATTTGAAATTGTTCTCAAGAAAAAAATCTAATTAAGCTGATTAAAACCTAGGAAGTTACTTGAAAAGGTTTTACGTGGTCAACTAACATTTTGTGCTGTTGGTAACTATATGCATCTAGTAACCTATATAACATTTAGATTATAAAGGACAAGTGAATAAAATATTTCAACATTTGGTACCTTTTACTAAAAGATCAAATTTTCTTACTGTGTTGTTTCCTTAATTTTTCTGAACATGCACTTATTGATCGTCAGTACCGCATAATCAATGTCCGTATCATCAGAAACTACCCAAAAAGAATCAAAATTTCCTCGATTTACTATAATAAACAGACATGGAACGCAAATTCACAAAACAAATGAACATGTATATTTACCACAAAGGAAAATGGAGGAATGAGGACGACCATGATGATGATGACGATTACTAGTGTGGGTAAAAAGAGATCAAGTTTGTGCTATCACTCGAACATCAGAAATCGGGTGGCAAAAGTTGTACCTGAGGATCGAGAAGAGCCGAAGCCGAAGATCGCAAGGAGAGACCGCAGCAGCACTCCATTTCTCAGCAAACTTCAGGGACCATTCTTTTGCCTAAAGCAGATGCGAAGTGATAGATACACCATTTCTAGAGGGGCGACTCGGACCACAAGACCCGGTGAGCAGATTGCGGCGGTGCACTACCCCTCGCCCCCGCCTTTGCTAAAGAACTCACCACAGAGCCATCAACGACAAGAGCCGATCCGATCGAATCAGACGGCGTCGATGGCTTCCCTCGCTTAATATACAACTTACAAGCGGAACACGACATCGCGGCGGTTTCCTTCCCCGTTCCCGCGCGCACAGATGTCCTTTTTTTGCCGCGAAATCTCGCCCTTCGTGGCTTCGAACGGATCCCCTCCGACTCCTATCATGCCGAGCTCTCCGAGGAGCGAGCAATGAATCTTGACCCGCTCGCTACCTGTTCGACAAAATGCGGAAGAAGTGGATCAGCTAAAGGCAGTGTCCCGTACTCGACATCATCTGTCCCGTACTTGAATAGAGCCGGATATTACTCCATAAATATATCAACTATATACTATATATATGTTTAACATTTTAATTTTGTTCTTGGCAAAAGTTTCATATCTAAAACTTATGATTGATAGATCTGAATAGTGTCTAAACTTTGCCCTATAAAAATTGTCGAAATATACAAAGGTAGGAGGATCAGTAAATATACTAAGCTCCATTTGCTCTCTGTTCCCCGTATATCAAACAAAGTTAAACTACAAAGTTTGTATTTTCTTCTTCTTAGAAACACAACACGCAACGATATAATTACATTATGTCATCCCTTTGTCTATGTTAATTAGTGATGTTCAAACCTTTAGTTTGGTTCTTTGTTTACTGTGTTATCGTATAATTTCGCATATTTATCCAAATTCAAATGAACAAACTGATGAACACTTCAGCCTATTCATGTTGTCTCTTACTGCCACCACATAGTGTCTTCGCCGCAGAATCCGTTTCATGTTTCTCATGATACATACCAAAGGCAAGATCAGATCGGCATAGTACCCGACGGCTACACCATGATCTCATCCAAACAAGGCTGCAAGACACTGATACTTACAGAGAGATATACTTCCTTCTGAATTTGCAATTCGACAAACTTGTCGTGAGCGATCGACTGCGGGGGCAGCAAATGGCAGGGCAATTCTCCTTTGGCAAGGAGGGTAATTAAGCGTGCATTTGGACCAGCTTCGACTCCATGCCAAAGAAGAACTGCACTGTCATTCTCACACCCCCCTCCTGCGTCTCCAGCTTCTTGTTTCTCTCCTCTTACTGTCTTGAGATCATGTCTCAGTCACTAGGAGGCACTTATAGTTCACGGCGCCACGGATCATATCGGGATATGCTGCAGCATATGCTTGCTCGTCAGGACTATTCTCGAGGAGCTTTCTTCCCTTTCTCCTTTTTGCCTTTCCTCTAGCTTGAGTTGCGCCACAGAAGTGCAGTCCTCCAAAAGTTAGAGGTAGAGGTCCTTCTCGTTCTGTTGTTGTACTGGCGATGCTCAAGCTCAAGCAGATGCCTACAACACATATCACAAGCAACCATAATGAATGACAACGAGTGATGCATGGAAAATCGTGTATAGCTTGCATGTATGAGAACAAGGTAAGGTGTGAGCATAGGATATCAGTAAAGGAGGTGACACATCAAAGGAATCAGCTTTATATCCAAGCATGGCACCCAAGGCAGCTTTATCTTTGCACCTGTTGTTACTGGTCGTGGAACATTCTCCTGGATCTTCCAAATGGGTGCTCTTCTCACTACATTATCGAAGAAGATTTGAGATCTCCTGGTTTCCTAATGAAAAGCATGCATGTGAGATGCTCATGAGCAAGGATTAAGACACTTTGAGGATGAAGAGAAGTCATAAATGCAAGCTAGAAACAAGAACTAGACGATGATTGGTGAACCGAGAAAAGAATTATGTGAATTAGACCTAATGATATGAACTATTACAATTATCTATTATTTCATGTTAATGTTGTTAAGAAAGCACATACATGTATGTCTACACAACACTTGCAACTGGAAACCATAATGTAATCATGTTTAGCTAATGTGTATTAAGTACAGAATTCAGGCCCCCTAAACTCAAACAAATGAAGTTAATGTAAAGCAGAACATGGTCATGCATAGCTACGTGATTGAGTTACGATTATTCTGCATGTGCATGCATGGTGATGCCCAACCTCGATCGCACTTGTCTTCGATGCGTGCTTGATGTTCCACAGCTTCAACCATGTGTTCGTTTGGGATATGCGCATATGCTAACACGATCATAGTCTCACCACAGGCTTATATACACCGCCAAACGCCAACCTGGGAAGAGCACAGCAGTTCGGCCACAGGGAACGGGGTGGTGGATTACTGGGTGAACTCTCCTTTGGCAGATGGAAGAAGATGCAACCCGAATTCTTGCTGCCAAAGGAGAATTGCCCAGCAATCCTAATCCAGTAGCAACATCTCTCTCTCTCTC